GGGTGGCATGGTGGTCCTTGGGTCTCGTCTGTCTCCCTCCTCCCCTGCTGTGCTGCCTGGATTTGATTTGACTTGATCTTTTATGTGTCCTAGACATAAGACAGCTTTGGCCACTAAGCCAGGCATCAATCTAGGTCCCTGACTGATATAAAAACAGCACCGTCAATGAAGTATCTCTTTGGCCATACCTGGGGGTGGGGTGAGGGTGGGGGTGGGGGAGTAGAGGGAGGCACATAATGAACAATCTTAAAAATCCAATTCCATTTACAAGAGCATCAGAAAGTAAAATACTTAAGAATAAGTTAAGATAAGGAAGCATAAGATTTGGGCACAAAATATATATATATATATATAAAATGTGGCTTTTAAAAAAGAAAGAAAGCTAAGCCATAAAGAAGCAAAAGAGGCCCCTGTGTTCACAGACTGGAAGACCCACTGGTTAGTCTTCACTGCAAAATTCTATTGTCGTGTACAGGCGGGTCCTAAAATTCATATGAAATTCTAAGCAACACCGACTAGACAAACCGTTTGGTGAAGGAATCAGATTGGCAGCCCCCGTGCTTCCCGGTAACAGCACTGTCTGCAGAACGGCAATCATCAGCCATGACGAAACTGAGAAAAGCACAGGCGCAGGGTAGGGAAACGCTCCGGGCGCCATGGTTGGCGGACGTCACGCTGGCTCACTCACAGTGGGAAGAACGTGATTTCCAGCAAACGTGCTTAACTATCAATCCTAGTGCAAAGGCGTGAAACTGGGTCTGAAACTTGTGCCGTTCACGAAACGGTCAGCGACACGATGTGGAGGCACAGACTCTGAGAACGAATGGAGCTCAGCTCATCAGTTCACAATGCACTCTGGGATAGAGGGTAGGAGGAAGCATGGCCAAACCATACCCTGAACAGAGAGAGTAGCCCACACAACACAACAGAAGACAAACCAACTAAATAAGGGGCACAGAGTCCTAAATATACATTGAGGACTAAATAACATTTCTACAAAGAAATGCTATGGGTAGCCGATGACCGCATTTAAAGATCCTCACCTTATTACTCATTGAAAAAAAAAAAAGAAAAGAAAATTAGAAGCCCAGTAGGCCTCAGCGTCACTTAACATTCTGTGTTGAAAGAAAATAACATGTGCCAAGAAGGTAGAAAACTGGAACCTTTGCCCATTGGTGGTGAAGGGGGCAGCCATATTGGAAAGTGGATTGACAGACAGCTCGCCTCTCAAAAAGCCAAATGTCCAGTTTCCATTTGCTCCTTCAGTTGCACTCCTGGAAAACAGAAATATACCCACGCTCCATCCTTCCTGTCCCCCACCCCCTGCAAGTGTACGGGACCAGTGAGGCTTAGCGGTTGAGAGTGCTTGCTCTCAAGGTTGGGTGAGCCCTGGCGGAAGCCACACGGCGGAAGAAGAGGACTGACTCCCACCGTTGTCCTCTGGCAACTCCACACAGGAGCACACACACATTAAATAAACATGTGAAACAAAACATCATACACAAATGTTCACACTGTTGTCCCAGTCCCGAAGCCCCTTCAACTGATGAACGATTACACACGACATGGTAACTCCCCACCACGGATTCTCATTTGCCCATGTAAGGAATGGTGTGTTACAACAGGCAATAACCTTGAAACAACATGCGAAGCAAAATATGTATGGTTCCACTCATATGAAAGATCCAGACTCCATTCATCAACACACACACACACACACACACACACACACACACACACAAGAGCAGCAGTTGCCAGGGACATGAGGCGGGTAGGCAGGGCTTACTTTGGGAGTGATGAAATGTGAGGGTGGTACAGGGCACTCAAAAATATGGCTAGACTTCTGTTGTGCGCTACTGCAATGTTTTGAATAAATGGAACCAGGAGATTAATGAGGAATGACTTCTAATTACGGATGAGACACAGAACTTTAAGCAACTGGCCACAAGTCGGCTTAAGACAAAAGCTGATCCCGGATCCCAAAATTCTGTCCCCGTATCCCCTAAACTGTGAAAACTGTCCATATCATAGGTGGATGGCACCCTGCCGCTAATCCCAGAAACAGGGAGGCTCGGGCGAGAGGACGGCTTGGGCTACGTAGTGATATAAGGTCTAACCGTCAGCAAGGCCTGTCTAAAGCAATCAATAATAATAATAATAATAATAATAATAATAACGCAGCGAGAGAGGGGAGAGGAAGGGAAAGAAGGGGAGGGAAGGGGGTCATAAACCAACAGCCGAACCAAGGGTCAAGGGGTTTGAGGGGAAAAGCATTGCAGGCGTGCCTATCATAAAACTATTCCCAAGAACGCCTCAGGGCAAAAGCCCTTTTCTGCCATTTGCTTTTTGAGACAGGGTCTCACGTTGTAGCCTGTTTGCCCTCAAACTTGCTATTCTCCTGCCTCCGCCTCCGGAATGCGTGGCTTACTTACACACATATGCTCGGCACGCCGCCTCTTGCTAAGGAAGTCCCCAGCACAGCCTCCTCTAGTGAACCGCAGTCAACACCCGCAGCAAAGCCCTGTCAGCCCCAGGCTGTTTCAAAGACCCAGCACTGCGGACTTCGGCCCTTAGTGTCCCGCTTCAGTCTCCTTGCAGATGGACATGGTGTGGCGTCGTCTCCTCAGCACGCACAGCCCAGACTCTTTAACTCTTTAGCAGTTCTCAAGGACCCTCTCACAGGGGTCACCTAAGACCACTGAAAAAACACAGATCTTTACATTATGATTCATAACAGTAGCAAAATTACAGTTATTCAGTGGCAGCGAAAATAAATTTTATGGCTGGGGATCACCACAGCATGAGGAACTGTATTAAAGGGTCGCAGCATTAGGAAGGTTGAGAACCACTGGCCTAGACAATAACCCCTCTCCTTTCGGCTGGCAAAACACACACACAGTTCCTCTGTCCCTAGGGTGGGGGTGGGGTGCAGGGCCCACACTGGAGTCCTGGGGTCAGCATCAAAGCCAACCGGTCTGGTCTGTGACACACACCTCTCCGACTCCACAACAGCCACCACCACGGCCACGAGGGGGCGCGCGTCGCCCGAGCACCGCCCCTCTCCCAACGCTCCATCCAACCGCCCGGCGGCGCAGATGAGTCTGGACCGGGGCGCGTGATGGCAACGGGGGCGCGCGCTGGACAGAGCCACCTTGGTGCCGCCCACGCCAGCGCCCGGGAGCCTTTTCCACGCCGCCGAGTTCCGCTCGCGCGCTCGCTCCTCCAGGACCAGAGAGGCCAGACTCTAGCAAAGCCAGCAAGACGGTTGAGGCGTCCAGATAAAAACTTTCATACAATATTTTCAATCTTTTTCAAGTAAAAAAAATATATATATATAAATATATATATATATATTTAAGTAGTTGTCTTGCAGTCCAAAGCAAAAGAGAAACGCCGCTATATTTTGCCCACTGTTGTTCTCCTTTGCTTTTGTTTGTTTTGAATATTTCTCTTGAGCGTTAACTTAGTTACTGAGTGTGTCCCATAAATTTCGTTGAGTCAATATTTGTGCAGCTTGGGGACCGCTCTGCCCTGCTGTCACTTTTAGTGTGTTGGCAGCAGTCTAGGGAGGGGCGAGTGGACCAGGCCTTAGGGCCTTAGGGGAGGGCAAGTGTGAGACACAGCAGCTTTGCCTACATTACTAGTGAGTTTAGGAATAGCCTTTTCTTAAGCCGTTACTATACTCAGTAATAGTTGTATTTTTTAACATAAGAATTTAAGCTGGCTCTGGCGCTGTACACCTCCTGTCCTAGCACTTGGGAAGCAGAGGCTGGAGCATTGGGAGTTCAAGGCCAGCTCTGACTACATAGGCATTTTGAACCCCATCTGGCCTAGGAGAGACACTTCTCAACAAAACAAGGGCCAGGAGAGAGGTCCCCGCTCTCCCAGAGGACCTGGGTTCAGATCATAGCACCCATATGGCTTATACCTGTAACCTCCAGTTCCAGGAGAGCTATTGCCCTCTTCTGGCCTCCACACATGTAACACACACACACACACACACACACACACACACACACACACACACACAAATGAAACCTAACTGCTACTGAGTTGCTGGATGACCTTGGACAGATCCCAGAGCCTAAAATAGCAATTCTAACCTCAGCATCCACGCACCTCTGTGGCTGTTGCTGTAGTCAAATGGAATAAGCTGTTACCGCTATTATTATTTCAAGCCCTAGTTTTCTTTCCTCCTTCCTGACACCTTGCCGCTCTTTGGTCAAAATAGTCTCTCTTTTCCTTGGATTCCCAAAAGCGCTTTCTCCACCCCTGGTCAAGGGCTAAATGACACTGTGCCACCCAGGGTGGAGGGTTAGGTGTCGCTGCTGTGGCTGGTTTCATTTTATGTGTATTGTCTGTTCTTCACATGTAATATAAACTCCTGGGGGGGGGGGTGGCGAACAAGCTGCATTTTGGTTCTTTATGTGACTGAGGTGACTACCCTTGTCTGAGACTTCAAGGTGAAGGTCGTTTTGTTTAACCTGAGTCAACTGTCCGCTGAACACAACGGCTGGGAACTAGGGGTGGTGTGGGAGGGAGATTGGGGACAGAAGAAACGCCAGGAGATGGAATTAAAAGTGTGACATAACCCTCCAAGCCCTTTTCACTAGAGCCCCGAGAGAGCCCTGTTGTCTCTCTTGTCTTTCTCACAACACCAGCCCCAGTGGAGGGGCGAAGGTGGAACCCCAAAGTCCTCTACACACACACACACACACACACACACACACACACACACACACACACACACACACACACACACCTGCTCAGGGACGTGGAGACGGCTAATTACAGGAAGGGGAACAGTAGACTCAAGAATTAGCACTCCCAGCCTGCCGCCTTGATTCCAATCTGGGATGAAGTGCGCTGGAATCCTAGGAGTTGGGGTGGGGGGCGGGGGCGGGGGCGGGGCGGGACCCCGAGGGGCGGGGCTTCGATGCTCCGCCCCGGGAGTCCCGCCCAGCCCTGCAGCGCAGGCAGTGCTCTCATTTAGGGTTCGCTCCGGGAAGGTGGAGTGCAGGGCCCGGGGTTCGAAGGCAGGCAGCGAGATGAGGCGAGCGCCAGCGTTCCTGAGCGCAGCCGAGGTGCAGGACCACCTCCGCAGCTCCAGCCTCCTCATCCCACCCCTGGAGGCCGCTCTGGCCAACTTCTCCAGAGGCCCCGACGGAGGGGTCATGCAGCCGGTGCGCACCGTGGTGCCCGTGGCCAAGCACCGAGGGTGAGTGAGGGAAGGACCAGAGGGAGAGGGGAGAAAGAGGAAGCAAAAGAACGCCAAGGGAAGCAGTGGGAGAAGGGAGGAGAGGGCTTGACTGATCTCTGCTAACAACAGCTACCGCTTAAGGGGCACTACCCACCGGGCGCTTTAGAGGTGCCACCTGCTGTAATTCAACCCGCCGTCCTTGGCAAGGGGCACACGGAGGCTGTCGCCCTGCAGGTTGAAAACTGAGAGGGGTAAAGTGATTTACTGAAGCTTACACAGCTGAGAAGTGGCAGGGCTGTGATGGCTTTCTGGTCCAGAGCCAGGCCATGAGTCCTGCCCCAGGGAAGGGAAGAAGGGCAGAGGAATGAGGGCGCGGGGAGTCGCGTGCCAGGGGTGCAGTCATGGAGGACGGTGAATGGGACTCCACAGAACGCTGAGCACTGACCGGAAGGGGTTGAAGCTGCTTTCTCCCTCTCTTTCTCTCTCTCTCAGCTTCCTGGGAGTCATGCCAGCCTACAGTGCAGCCGAGGATGCGCTCACCACCAAGTTAGTCACCTTCTACGAGGGTCACAGCAACACGTCCTCTGTCCCCTCCCATCAGGCTTCAGTGCTCCTCTTTGAGCCCAGCAATGGCTCCCTGCTGGCGGTGAGCAAGTCTCTTCTCCTCTGGGGTAGAGCGAGTCCCCCTGGAATACAGCGTGTCCCTTGGGCGCAGAATTAAGCCTAGAAGCTAGTGAGAAGTAACATACAATTGCAAGTGGCCAGACACAAGGCAGCAAAGGTGATCTGCGCTGGCGTCTGTTTCTAGGAACTGCTTGTGCCTACCGCGGCTGCAAGCATGTGGCTGTGGAAACAGCCATCCCCTTATTCGTGCTTTCACGCTGGCCACGCACTCAGATAGATACACCAAATGCTCAGCCTGAGCTAAAGCAGCGGCTGAGGAAGCGTTTATTCAATCCCTCCCCGTGTCAAGCAGAAGACACACTAACCTGTAGGTGTCTTCCCGACATCTGTCTTTATCATTCTAGCAATGATAAAGAAGAGCAGTAAGTAGCTCACAGGTATGGGGTGATCGTGTGTGTGTGTGTGGGGGGGTGTTCTAAGCACATTACCTATATAATTAAAAGCACCCAGGAAGTACATAACATTTTACCCCCACTTCAAAGACGAGGAGTGAGTCATTGCAGGAGCAGTGCTCGGCTTAGCCCCTAATGAGAAGCAAGGCTGGACCTCCAACCGCTTGAGTCTAAGCCAGTGGTGTATCCAGTTCTAGACCGTGTTCTACTGCCTTATCTATTTGTTATGTGTCCCAAGCCAGACTCACACACATGATCCTCCTGCCTCAGCCTGCCAGGGAGCTGCCCCTTTACTTTTTGTGGAGCTCCTCGAGCCGTGGGTTTAATAGCCTGAAACCCTTGGCTTGAGGTCATACAGCTCGTAAGTGGCAATCCCTCCTAGGTCCACTTGATTGACACTGGTGTGGATTCTCTTAGCTCTTGGAGTTCTCCAGGCTGGCTCTCAGACTCCCACCCCCTTTTTCCTTCTCCTCTGAGAGTCTGAGTCCCTAAGCAACCCAGCTGTCTGTTACCCCTCCTAGAGCTGAGTATCTAGCTCTTCTCAACCTGTGGCTGTAGCATCTATGCTGCCTGAGACAATGAATCCCTACTTCCGGAGCCACTTCCGGAGCCTTGGCCCTTCACACCACATGGTGGGGCTTTGGGGCTTTGCTGACTGCTCTGTAGATACAGGACTCGGCTTCTTCTCCCCGGTTAAAGGAGAAAAAGAACAAATACTAACACTTGCCTTTTGAGTGCCAGCTGAGATGAGTGAAAGGCTCAGTCTTCCCTGGGCATCAGAGCCTCCTAGGAGGCTCGGAAGCCAAGGATGGCGTTGGTCCCACCCCTAGGGATGCCATTTCCTTGGTTTTCCTTTGGACCAGGAATGGGTCCTAAGACCTTGACCACTGAACCGCATACCCCCCAGCCAGAGAGTCAGCCTGAGTCATTCTCAAGGTGGTGTCTGGGGATAGTGTCTTTCCAAAGCTCCTGAGATGTGAAGGACAATCATATCCCTGAGGTTTCACCTGAAACCTCAGGTGAATCTTGGGGATCTGAGAATCCCAGGGCAAGGGAGAAAGAGTGGGGTGATGCTTGCGTGGCCAGTGTATGCAGGGGCCTCCCTATGTGTCGCTGCACTTAAAGCTCTCGGTCCCCTCTGCACAGGTCTCAGGTGGAAGAATCAGCTCTGACTGGGACCCTAAGCCCCACACTCGCTGTGCTGTCTACACAGAGCTGCCTCTCCGAGTTTCAGGCCTAGGAGGGTGACCTTCCTCACTGTCTCTCCTTCCCCCCAGGTCATGGATGGAAATGTCATAACTGCAAAGAGAACAGCAGCCGTGTCTGCCATCGCCACGAAGGTAAGACGGGTGGCTAAGCTGGGCTAGCAAGATTAGATCCGGAGAGGGGAAGAATGCGGAGCTTGTCTTGGGTTGCCTCTGTTCACAGATGGAACGCCACATACCAAACAGGAGTTAGTGAGTGAACACAAAAATTATTGACTATGTGCCACGTGATTCCAAATACCTCCTATGCACAATTCTCAACCTTCCTGTCTCAAAAACAGAGTGGAAAGTGATACAGAGAGAGATACCAGATGTCAGCATCTGGCCTGTGCGCACACACACACACGTGTATACGTGAACATCTACGCAAATACACATAAATGAAACCTAGAATATGGTTTTAAAATCACTTTATTTTGTTAAATAATTAAGTGGCTCTTTAATGTATCATGTACTAGTTTTTAAATAAATGTTACTACACATTTAACTATTTTACAATTGTTTATTAATTAGTAAATAATTGGTAGTCTGTTTAGAGTTTGCTGGAAAAAAAATAACATCCTTCAATACCCCCATTATATATTTAAAAATGAAACGAAGCAAAATGAAAAAATATTGGAGTGCAAGTGATTTTTTTTTTTTTTTTTTTTTTTTTTTGGAATGGGGTCTCACCATATTGCCCAGGCTGGACTTAGATATTTGGTCTCAAATGGTTCCTTTGCCTCAGTCTCCTGCATAGCCAGGTCTACAGGTATACGTGGCTCTTTCTGACTAAAGAGATGACATTTCGGATGATTCAGAAATGACCTCCCTGACATTTGAGAGAGGACTGAAATCAGTGAGTGGAATGCTGGAGGGCCACACTGCAGATGGGCAAGCAGGTAGTGCTGGTGAGGCTCCCAGAGCTGTGGAGGCTGTGGAGGCACCCCCTGAGAAAGGTGGGGGAGTTTAGAATGTGGCAGCAAGCTGGGAGGATGGTGCACACCTGTAATCCCAGCACTTGTGGCTGAGGCAGGAGGATCGCCACGAGTTGTAGGACAGCCTGAACCATGTGATGAAACCACCTCCCGAAAGACAAAATAGAGGAAAACGGGGATCTGTGGGAAATATTGGAACCTGGATTTTTTTTTTTTTTTTCATTAGTTGAAGACTGCTGAGGGCTTGGGATGCTGGTTTTCGTAGGCAGAACAGAGGTGTCGTGGAGCAGGGGGGAGTTGGCATTGGCAGATCAGGGGTTGAGATTGTTCAGAAGGCAACTGGCTCCTGAGGAACAACACCTAGTGGACCACTATCTTCCACAGGAAGGTACACATGTACACACACACACATACACACACACACACACACGCACGCACGCACGCACGCATGTGCACACGAACACACACACGCAGAACCGAGAGGGGCGTCCATCACATAGGGAGGGGTGTTATCCAGTCCAAGTGAGATCATGAGAGTTAAATGCTGGCACACAGTAGGTGCTCAGTGAAGGCTGCTTCCTTTCTGCCCCTCTCTACAGAGGGCAAATAGAAACAAAGTGACATCTCCATGATCCTCACCGGCTCCTGAGGGTTGCTGAAGCTTCCTGGCCCCCTGAAAACACTGACCTTTGCCACCATGTCCCTCTCAGTTTTTGAAACCCCCAGGCAGTGATGTGCTGTGCATCCTCGGGGCTGGGGTCCAGGCGTACAGCCATTACGAGATCTTCACGGAACAGTTCTCTTTCAAGGAGGTGAGTGACGGGAGTGGCGGAGGGGGAGCAGGGAGACAGGCAGGCTAAACAGCGGGGCTGCATCTGGCACAGAACTTCCTTCCCTCTATGACGTCCCCAGAATTTCTGTGGAGGGCTGGCCACCTGTTTTCAGTCTCATGGTTCCCGGGACACACTCCTGGGGATGCCACCGAAGTGATTCTGTGACACACTCCTTGAGTATCAAAGGGCAGCTGCCCTTCCAGCCCCTTCCTGTGTTTCTCTTTAAAGACTCTGGGACTCTTCAAGTCTTTAGGGTTGTGGATCCAGAATCAGGGCTGAGACCTTGTGAACAGAGAACACAGCCTTTGTCCACTGCCATCAGCAGACCCTGCCACCTCTCCCTGCCGTGGCCCTTGTCTCACTGGAAATGTTCTATGATTTTTTTTTTCCATTTTAATGTATGCCTGTGAGAGAGGTGAAGCCAATGGAAAGCATGCATTTTTATATTAAAAATAACACTGCTATCTTGAGAAATATAGACTATGAAGAAGAAAAAAATCTAGCCATCTATCTGTTTCTTTTTTTAAGAAAAGCAAGTAGTTTCTGGGCTTTTCTCACCTGTGTCTTAACGGCTTTCATGAGCTTTAACCATGTTGGCTGTGCACAGCAGTATATTCGTGGACAGTTCTAACATCACTATTCCAGATTATCTAAATTTTGCACGTTTGCTCAGTTTTCTGTCAGGAAAGATGACACAGCTACCCAGTGACGTATTACTGGGTACACTGCTTGATGGACTTTGTGTAACGTTCATTTCTCTAGTCACCGTATTTCTTGATGAGAGAGCCTTTGGGCCTTGTGTTTAGTCGAAGTCCAGCAGCCTCGGACCCAGACACTGGAACTGGTCAGTCAACTCACAATAGCTCAGCCGTCGATAGACAACACCCATCTACCTCCACCCCAGCACCTTCCGGGATCCTGACTGAGGCTTCCACCAGTCAGGATGGGCTCTATCTGCCACACCAGTCGACTAAAAACCATTTGCTTTTCTGTCCTTCCTTACACTTCATTGATCAAGCTCTTCCGTGCCACAGCACTCCTCTCATGAATCTTGTATCTGCTACAACTCTGACACGGGGCTTCAAACATAGGCCAAGTTCCCCACCCTCTTTGCCCCCTTCACAGCCGTGGAAACTGAGGCTGAATGATGGAAAATCACGGCAGGAATAATACAAAGCAAAGGAAAGGTGCCAAGCCTGCATGGCTCTGGGGCCTTCTCTGTAATCATTAAGCCATCGGGGCTGTGTCCTGGCCTTAAACTGGAAAGCGTCTACAACCTTCTTTAAAAAAGGGGGGTGGGAGGGCCATTTTGTTTGTCTGAGCAGATATCTGTTCCAATGAATGCTGCGTCCTTGATCAAATATCCATACTTTAAAGACGCTGTTGTCACCATCTTGGAGCAGTGTGGGTTTGTGTGGCGTAAGCAGTGAGGAAATACACCAGTGACCCTTTTGTTACCCACTCTAAGGTGAGAATATGGAACCGCACCAGGGAAAATGCTGAGAAGTTTGCAAACACAGTGCAAGGAGATGTTCGGGTCTGTTCGTCGGTGCAGGAGGCCGTGACGGGTGCTGATGTCATCATCACAGTCACCATGGCAACGGAGCCCATTTTGTTTGGTGAATGGGTGAAGCCTGGGGCTCACATCAATGGTAAGTAGAGAGGCTTCATGTTCCCAGATTGGATCCAGAGTCCATTTGTAAAGGTGCTTTCTCCATCATATAGAACGCCACATGATTTTGTTGTTGTTGTTGTTGTTGTTTGTTTTTGATTTTGATTTTGTTTTGACTCAGACTCTTGCCATACACCCTGGCTAGCTTTAAACTTAATACCCTCCTGCCTCAGCCTCCTGAGTGCTTAGATTATAGGGGTGTATCCCCACTCCCGTCTACACCTGCTTTTTAAGGGTCTCAGAAACAGATGAGCCTACACAACTCAAGAAGCGTAGGCAGGAAGATGGAGGGTTGGAGCTAGCCTGGGCTTCTTACAGAGAACCTGTCTCAAAACAAAAACAAAAACCCAAAGGCAAGGGGAGGATGAGGTGGTCCTGAAAAACTGTGTCTCAAAATGTGAAAAGGAAATGAAGTGTAAAGCTGGTGAGCAGTGCACCGATTCATGTCCTGTGCCATGTGACGTTGCCACATGTGACAAACGGTCAGCTGCAGCTTCATTCTTAAATGGGATAAAATTCATTCTGGTTTGTTTGACTTGATAGTTTGAGACAACGCTTCTCTGTGTGGCCCTTGAACTTGTAATTCTCCCTCCTGGGCCTCCCAAGATTTGCAGGACAAGTCCAAGCCACCACTCTAGCCTGAATTGTTTGTTCTTAGCGAACAGAGCCATAAACAGTTTCCAAAAGTGCTTACAGCATAAAAGGATTTAAGGTGCTGTGTGCATGCTTTTAATACAAGCGACCAGGAAGTCGGGGTGGGAGGATATTCTAAACATAAAGGCGCTTGGGGCCTCTGAAGACCTTCACGTAACCTTAGAGGTGATAGCAAGAGATATTAACTATTGTAGGTGCTGTCGTGTGTGCGTGTGCTAGACTGGCTGGCCAAAAACTCCAGGGAGCTCCTATTTCTGTCTGGGGCCCCCCACTCCACAGAGTCACAGATATGCATGACCATGGCTACATTTTTTACATGGGTGCTGGGGACATAACTCAGCAGCAAGTACTTTACTGCGTAATCTATCTTCCCAACACCCTCAACTAGGATATATATGTATCTATACATATATATATATATATATTATACGTGTAATATATTTTATATAATGTATATGTAATATAATATATTTATAATATATATTATATGTATAATGTATATATGTTAGATACAGTCACTTTATCCTTACAGCGACCTTATGAGATAGGAAACAATAATTATCATGACCTTTGTTTTATAGGTGAGTAAACCAAGACAAGGAGAGACTGAGTAATTTTCAAGAGTCAGAAACTCTTGGGGGAAGAGTTGGGTTTGAACTGAAGTAGGCTGTCCTTGGAGCCTGGGCTCTTGAGCAGTATTTAACACTCTGTTCAAATAAGAAGTCTGGTTTCCAGTTGCCGGAGAGACAGACAGACAGACAGACAGGAGAGGATTGAGGATCGTAGCAGTGCTCCAAATGTGATGTCATCTCAGAAGCTGAGCACTCCGAACAGGCAGATGAGAGGCGGGAGTCAAGTCAAGAGATTCTGTGTTCATTCATGCATGTTTAGCACATGCCAGCCATTGTTCGAGCTGCTGGGGTACCACAGGAAGTGAAGCATCCAAGGGCATGGCTTTCCGGTTGGCTTCATTCTAGTGATGGGAGATAAGCCAAACAAGTAAAGATGTGGGTAGTTTCTGTCTGTGAGGAGCCTGTGCCGCTAACGGGACACTGGTCGAGCCTGGAAGAGCAGTGGAAGCAGAAGGGGAAGTTGAGGTAGATCCTTTTGTTCCACTTATCTGAAGGGCTGCCTGGGGAGATGAGTTGAGGCTGGGACCCAAATGATAAAGAAGAGCAGCAAGTCATGTTGAGCTGAAGTGAGGATGCTCCAGGCAGACTGAAGATTATGAGCAAGGGCCCATAGGGGGAGTGAACACAACAGTTTGAGGAAGAGGCCAAAGTGAAGTGAAGGTCTCAGTCTTCAGGGAACTGATGTCACGACGCTGAGCTGGCAGGTAAAAGGTGGCTTGAGGTGTGCTTCTTGGTATCAAAACTGTCTGGATCCAGAAGGACAGTTCTTGGTGAAATATGTTCCAGGGGTCAGAACTGAAGCCGCAGCTGACTGACTTGGTTTCTGTTTTGTCTTTCACACTTAATACAACATCCTGAGAATCTGCTCAAGGCCGGGCTGGTCCTCTGCCTATAGCCTCTGAAGGATGAAATGCATGTTCACTGGCCTATAACCTCATCTAGGCTCAAGGGTCCTCTTCCTGGCTCATGTGGTGGCAGGGCTCAATTCCTTACATAGGGTACAGAGGAACTAACTCTCAGTTAGTTCCTAAGCATCTTCCACCATCTTTGCTGTATGGACCCACCATCCCCAAATCCAGCTACAATGAATCCTTCAAATTCATTCTCTGACTATCTATCATCTATCTATCTATCTATCTATCTATCTATCTATCTATCTATCTATCTATCTATCTATCTATCTATCTAATCTATCTGTCTGTCTATGTATCTGTCTGTCTATCTGTCTATCTATCTATCTCTATATATTTCTACAAAAAGATGGCCTGGTGTGGCATCAAGATGCTTCTTTTGTGTTCCCTTGACCTAGGACAAAGTTATTTTATGTGTTCACAGAGCCTCATATATGCTTTATTAATAGTGGTCCAGGGACAGGTTTTACTTGTTCACAGCACTGCTAAAGGGCAGGCCTGACTCTCCCCAAAACACACACACACCACATCACACTTCCTTGATCCTGTCCCCACTTCCATTCATCCCATCAGTGAGTCCTCCAAGACCTTCACACGTTCTATCCCCACTGAAGCAAGGCCAAATTCTGACTGCTGACTTGCTGTTTGGTACACTTGCATCTGCCTGAGTGGCCTCACATGGCCCTTTGAGAATTCATACTGCTCTAGACACCGGCTGTCTGTAAAAAAGCAGGGGATGGGGTCACCCCAGAAACTGGAGGCTTTTCCCCGCCACCTAATGATTCATTTACAAGCTTCATTAGTGAGTGCTTTTGTTCTATAGAATCCCATACCAACAGCCTTCAAAATGAGCATAATTAAACTGCTCCCTGGAAATCAGAGCTCAGAACAACAGGAAACAGAACGTGAGAAGAGGTGGGTAGCATTGTAAGAAGGCACATAAATGCTGCCTTGTATTTGGACTGAACTTTATAGTATTTTTCAAAGACTAGCTAGCTACCCTGGGGCTGGCCCCAGCCAGCAGACTGCTTTGTTTGGACCATAGAGAAATCAAGAAATATCTTATGCAAATAGATTTTCTGCTCCTCTTCATAAAGAGTAGGAATGGAGGGCAGTCTGATAACAGTGGATACCACTCATGTATAGCAGCCGTTAGCTGGAGCTGGACGGTGACTGTCCCCTGGAGAAGTACACACCCTCTTCTGTGTGCCCAGGACTGCGACATTTCCAGTCCCTCTGTTGGCTTTGTTCCTGTTCATTTCTTCCTGGCTTTGCAGGCAAGGCATTTGGTTGCAGCCTGTGCATTATCCTGTGTCCTTGTAGCAGAAGGCGTGATATATTGGAATCATCGCTCCAGTCTCTGCAGAGGGACAAGGTCAATGATCAAGGCCTAATCGTCAGTTGTGGCTTGTGCGGTATTTGTGTTTCTTTTTTTTCCTCCTCCTCCCTCTTCTCCTCTTCATTCTCCTTATCCTCCTCTTCCTGCTCTTCTTTTAAAAATGTGTGTGCGCGCCTCTGCATGCCACCACACACACATATGGAAGTCAGAGGACAAACTCAGCTATGGGCTCTGGCTCGCACTTTGTTTGAGACAGCATGGCTTGTTGTTTACCTGTGTGTTCTACAGGCTCTCTGGCCCAAGTGGTTCCAGGGGTTCTCCTGCTTCTGTTCCCCCTCCCATCTCACCTAGAGATGGGATTAGGATGTGTGCTATGGCATCCAGCTCTCTGCAGATTCTGGAGATTCAGGTGGTCACGTTTGCATGACATGTGCTTCACCCACAAGGAATTCCCCCCCCCCCCCATCACCAGTGTTCTTTGTGCCAAGGCAATCTCAAGCCCACGTTTCCTTTTGCTCCCCCTCCTGGCAGTATTGGGATTGAGTTTAGGGGCTCATATGCAGGGCAGGTGCTGTGCCACTGAGCTAGTTACAGACCTCCCAACTGTCTTCATAGTGTGGCTTCTTCATGGCCTTAACATGGCACTCTTTCTCATGATGAGAAAAAAAAAAAGCAGTTTCAGGTGAGGAGCAGGAATGACTGAGGAGCAAGCCAACCAAAGATAAGGAGCAGTGTGTGTGTGTGTGTGTGTGTGTGTGTGTGTGTGTGGTTTCTGCAATTGGCTGTCACTCCCAGTAAGAAGAGACCCTTAGTGAAAGCCTGGGGTCATCTCTGACCCAGATTCACTGATGACTTGAGTGGGCCCCTCTCTCCTCATTTTCAATGTGTGCCTCTGTGAATGGAATCAGACACTGAGGAGAATGTGAGATACAGAAAGAGCATATATGGAAAATACAGCACAGACAGTATTTACTGTATAGGTGGATGCTGGGCTGGCAAGATGGCTCAGAGGTCAAGACTGTGCACTGCTCTTGCAGAGGACACCAGTTCTGCTCATTCCATCCATGCCAGGTGGCTCACACTGCCTATAACTCCAGCCTGAGTTAATCCCCAGACATGAAGGTGTGCACTCGCAACCCCAACACTAGGAAGGTGGAGATGGAACAGTCGGGGCCCACTAGCCAGCTGAGCCTCGGCAGCAAGCTTTGTGTCCCAGGGAGGGGCTCTGTCTCACAGAACAAAGTAGACAGCCATCTTGAGGAACAACAAACACCCTTACCCTCTGATCTCCAGATACACCTGCACATACACATGCAAATACTCTTTAGAAGAAAATGGAAAAACAGTAGGCATTTTTTTTTAACAAGTACTCTGTCTTCCTTATTGGGGAAAGCTTGGTATGGAAAATGAGAAGGCATTTGGGTCTAAATTTCTCTGCTCGTCCACTGCCTACCTCTTTCTACTAATGTGCCCTAGGATTTCCTGGGCTCAGAGTCTCTTTTGTTGCCTTGTAGCTGTTGGAGCCAGCAGGCCTGACTGGAGAGAACTGGATGATGAGCTCATGAAGCAAGCTGTGCTCTACGTGGACTCCCGGGAGGCTGCCCTGAAGGAGTCAGGAGACGTTCTGTTGTCAGGGGTGAGCCTTTCATCAGCAGAACCACTGACCGGCCCTGGCTTGGTTCCCAGGGTTTCCACTGCCTTCCCATCTGGACCTTGATCACCTTACCTCCTAGTAAGGAGGCCATTCTTAAAGATCTTGCAACATTTTAAAATCCCAGTCCAGAAAAACATAGCCATATGGCTATGACATGTGTCTTCTTGTCCTTCTGCCTGGAAAAAGAATTAATTTTTTTCTGGTTTGCCATGCTGTAAGGTAGTGGGAAGGGAAGTCTGTTGCAACCCGGGAACCTTAATAAGACTAGGTGTCCCCTGGATGCCTATCCCCACTTACAATCAGGTTACAGAAGCAAGCAGAGGCTGCCAAATTGCACGGTCAGATAATAGCACACCAATTTCTTCACAGACGGGGTCCTGGCAGGCAGGCAGGCACCCAGACACAATGATCTCTGTGTCCATGGCATCAAAAACACAGTTGCTTTTCCCAAAGGATATCAGAGGGCATCTACTTCCTAACATCTTTTAGTTCATAGATGGTCCTTTAAAAAAAAAGAAAAAAAAAGAATAACTTTTATTCTCTTTATATAAATAAATCAAATTTATACCTCTATTCGGGGATTCCTTTACTGGCTTCAGGAGCTGGCCATGCATGAGATGGTGGTTTCAAGCTCCAGTTAGCATGTATTTGTTTCACAGGCTGACATCTTTGCTGAGCTTGGAGAAGTGGTGTCCGGGGTGAAGCCGGCACACTGTGAGAAGACCACAGTGTTCAAGTCTTTGGGTAAGAGTCATGAATTGTTCCCTGGGCACAAATCCAACTAAAGCATAAGGCAGGTGAAAGGAGAGAGGAATGGGTTACCAGGTTCTGTGGGTGAATCATGGGAAATCTTTGTAGAGTCCATCATTTGGATCAATCATTTACGTGATGGGTGGAGCATTTGAGCTGATGAACTCTGGAGCTGGGCAGTCCTTGATTACAGTCCTTCTCTCCATGCACTGGATATATGACCTTAGGCAAGTGACCTCATGTATCAGAGCCACAGTTTCCTCACCACCTGCTACCTTGAGTTCTTATGACAATTCAGTGAGATATATGAGAAAAAAAAATTTGCAGACAGCCAACGTTGTACTAAACCGCTTGTTTAGACATAAATGAATTCAGAATAATATCCATCAGGGGAAGAGGTCAGGGAACAGTGCCGTTAACAGCAAAAAGGAAATGACGGAGATGTCTGACCAAGAAGAGATTGAGACGGGAAACATGCAGTCTGAGACCCTTTCATTTCCCCCTTCCCTACCCTTCCATGTGATGCTTAATGACAGGCAGTCAGGAGGAGTTCCAAGCTGCATCAACTGATCTGGGTAGAATCCTGATGAAGGGTGGACTCCCTGTGGTCAGTTCACCCTGATTAACTCTCCCATTCTGCCATGTTTAAAGAAACAGATGGGATAATGGAACCAGAGTGATAATCAGCTATTCCACTTACAACATTTAGTAAATGGATACTACCAGGGACCTTCAACAGTGCTTTCTGCCCCAAGATCTTCCTTCCATACCTCTTCGTACTGAGCAGCAGCAACTTTAATATTTGCCACAGTTTTTAAAGTACTTGGGCTGGCTGGGTGTGGTGGCACACACCTTTAACCCCAGCACTGGAGAGGCAGAGGCAAAGGCAGAGACAGATCCCTGTGAGTTCAAGGCTAGTCTGGTCTTCATAGCAAGTTCCAGTATAGCCAAGACTATAGGAATGCTGTCTCAAAAGAACAAAACAAACAAATAAAAAAATAAACAAAAAGGAGTATCTGGCCAGTAGTGTGGCCACAACCATGAAACAGTACTTTCTGGACATGAGAAGGATGTTGCCCACATGAGCTCAGTGCTGTGACCCCGTGCATAAGGCCTGCACAAGGCTGGGTCAACTGAAATACCAGCATGAATGGGGGAACAGAGCTCCTTAAGTCCCACGCCCTAGCTGAGAAGCTATTGGCAAGTGATGGCAGGTTGGGGTTGAAGAGTCAGTTTTCTTCAGGGATGTGGCCCTGAAGAGGGTGCCATGCACACACAGGTAACACCAAGCAGACCTAATTTTCAACAACAACAACAACAAAAAGCAGAAAGTTGGGAGAAAGTGATGGGGGGATAGGAAGGAACTAGAGGCAAGAGAAGAAGGAGTGGATTTGATCAAAACATATTGTGTGCATGTATGATATGTACATTTTTTTTTTTTTAATTTCTGTGTTTTAGAAGATCAGCAAAGGCAGTAAACTTCATCTAATATCTGGTCCAGTGACCTTCCACTGAGCCACTGGATGGTTAGCTGGCCTCGTTAAAGAGACAAGGACTACAAGAGTCTGCTCTTTGGACAAGTTTTGTATTCCCGACTTGAGTGATAGGTTTATTGACACACTTTCTCTTCTAGCTATATACTGAGCCACTCATACATAAGGGGTACAAAAATTAAGGTACATATGGTGAAATTACAGATGGAATATGCCTTATCTTAAATACTTGAGCCCACAAGTGTTTCATATTGGTTCATGGAGAATGTTTGTAGATTGTTGACTGACTAAGCCCCCAAGCCTTCTGCCCAATATGAAAATGTATCCTAAAAAAAAATTGTTTTTTAATTTTAACATTATCTTAAAGAATTTCAGACTATGTAATGTTTCAGATTATAAACTTTTGGATTAAGGAAATTTGACATTTCCAAGACAAATAGGAGATGCTAAAGAAACAGGATTTGTAATGGTCCAGGGTAGGACTGTATGTCCAGCTGTGCCAACTATCTGTAGTTGTATGAGCTCTGAACTACAAATAATGTCTACATTTTTAAATGGTTGGGCTGAGGCATATAAAGAATCACCCTCAGGACACATGGGATGAGAATGATGGGAGAGACTGGGTAGGGAGGTAGCTTAGTCGGGAAAATGCCACATAAGCAGGAGGAGCTGAATTTGGAGCCCCCAGGACAGATGTGGCAGCACAGGGATGGGTTTGTAATTGTGCTATTGTGGAGGTGGAAACATGAAGATCCCTGGGGCTCCCTGGCCAGCTAGTCTAGCCGAATCAGTGAGCTCAATGAGAGAGCCTGTCTCAGAACAAAACAAAAAACCAAATAAGATGAAGAACAATTGAGCTGAGGAAGAGGAAGATAGCTAACATCAAGCTAAGCCTCCACACACAGAGCGGGGGATGGGGGGGGAAGGGATAGAAGGGGGATTCAAATTGTAGTGCCCATAGATGAAATCTTACCAAAACACACACAGTCTCATTTGCTTTACCTGTGACCTGTGCCCACTTTCCCAGTATCAGGGCAGAACTAAGCCACTGTCACAGAGACCATATGGCTTACAGAGCTTACACTATTCACTGAGCCTCAATTGAAATGTTGCTTACCTCCAAATTAGACCTCAGAGGTTATAAAATGTGGGTGTTTCTTGGTTAGTATTGTATTCCTTTACTTGACCAGCCCATCTGGTCAAGTAGATAGATACCAAGTCTATGTGAAACTCTGGGTAGCAACTGCAATTTTATCACTGCGGAATTTAGCACTCTCCTCATGTAAGGCATCAGAAGATAGCCAGGCTTGTTTTGAGCGAAGGTGTTCTGACAAAAGAGTGAAGCAAATTTCTGTCCATTCCAGGTATGGCAGTGGAAGACCTAGTCGCAGCCAAACTGGTGTATGATTCCTGGTCATCTGGCAAGTGAACGGAAGGAGCTGCGACTGAAGTGGCCGTCACAGCTCAAGTGCTGTCTCACAATGTCTGTGTCAAACCAGGAAGCCCCTTCCCAGTGCACTGTAGTGGTTATCGTTCTTAATTAGTAACATCCCTAGTCATGTTTGTAGCTGGATAGCCAAACCAGGTGACTATTTCTTCTGTTACATGGGTGATGGCCACATCACCTACCCTTGATCTTACTAGCTTTGTATGTCTCTGAAATAAATCATTTCCAGTTCTTCAGTGTGTCCTTTAATAACTTCCTGTGGGAAGGGTCAAATGCTCACTCGGTCTCTAGGGAAGGTGGAATAATATTTTCTCCATTTTAATTGAGCCGAACTCACCATAAAACCATTCTCTCTGTCTCTGTCTCTCTGTCTCTCTCTCTCTCTCTCTCTCTCTCTCTCTCTCTGTGTGTGTGTGTGTGTTACCATGCTAGAGACTCAAACCCAGAGCCTCACAGATGCTAGGCAAACACACCTCCACTAAGGTACATCCCTTGTCCAGCTCAAGACTTTAAGGTGTACATTTCAATGGGTTTGGGTGGGGTTTGTTATGTCCAAGTCCAGAATGATCCCATCCTCTGAAGAATCCTGGTCCTCAACAGTGAGTATCACTGCCCGTTCCTTCTCCCAAGCCTCTAGTTTCTACTACTACAGATTTGCCTCTTCTAGAAATTTCTGATACATCCAATCATATGTTATGTAGCTTTGTGAATCGATTTTAGATGTTTAAGGAAACATAGATAAGGGGGCTCCTTTGGTAGTAGAAGCCACAACGTAGTTCACTTGAGTGATTGACTGGATGGTGAAAGGAATCCATCAGTTAGTTATAACTAAAACAAGAGGTCCCACAAAGACATGTCTCGTGGCCAAGAGATCTTTTTAAAAGCATCAGGCGTCCCATATGTAGGTTCATTCCTCTCCTCACTATATAATTTAGGGTAGGATAAAAAGACAGTGTCTCAGGAGGTTCTCTAGTTACCTCTAGGTAACTAGAGGGGATTCAGGATCTCCAGTGATGATGTGAGACAGACTCAGGCCGGAAAACCCCTAATTCCTTCCCATGACAAGTGCTTTTACGTGCGTCATTAAGAACAAGTACAACTTCAGTTTATTCCACAACAAAAGCCAGTGTTTGTAGACAAGTATCCTGTAATGTAACATATCCAATAACCCAGACGCCCTTGGATCCAATCACTGAGGACGAATGAGTGAGTTCATCACATTTGAGCATCTGTACCCTGTACGAAGCCTCTTGAAGGAACTTAGATGTGAATGGGAATTCAGCTGGGCAAAAATAGTAGACACACAGTTGGTAGTGAACTCTACCTGGTAAGTAGTCTGGCTACAAAATTCTAATAAAACTTAGCTGTTGGTTGGGAGTGGTTTCAATTCGAGATTGTGTTTTAAAAGCTGTCTGCGTAAAAAAAAAAAAATGCTGGCAAGACATTGGAAAGGGGAACTTTATACATTGCTGGTGGGAAAGTAAACTATGGAATGCAGTGTGGCAGCCCTCCAAAAAGCTAAGAACAGAACTATCGTGTAACCCAGACATCCCATTCAGCATACCACACAGACCTGCACATACATATTTATTGCTGTGCTGTTCATAATAAGCCAGGAAATAGGACCAGCCTGGGGGTCCATCAACAGATGAATGGAAAAAGAAAATACAGTGGATTACACAATGGAATGTTATTCAACTGTAAAGAATAAAATTAAGACATTTTCAGAAATCAAAGATTGTTAAGCAAAATATGCCTCACTCATAAAGTCTAATACCCTCAAGAGAAACCCTCAAGAGTCTATTATTAATATTACACCAGGAGGGAGGCTCAGAAGACTCAAGAAACTATAGAGAATTTTCTAGGATCAGGAAGCTGCTGGGGAGGGAAGATTCTCTTTGGTGGAGCTGCCTGCCACATAGTCAGGAAGCTCCCAGGATGCACCTTTTGTGACTCATCACTCACGCTTAGGGTAGGCTTTTAGCTGATACTGTTACCTTTGAATTGCCTATATTCCTATTAACTAACTCCAAAAGCACCATGGTTTCGAGCTAGACTCAGATAGAACTGTTTCTTTGGTCTGCCATTGGTACCTATCTAGGGGGGATAGACATTTGTTCATAACCAAGGAAGAAAGGTTTGGGTCTGAATTGTAGTATGGTTACCCTAAGTGGATATGAATAATATCCACTTATAAGTAAGAAGTTAACAAGGAGCGCCCAAGGGAGGGTACATGAATCTCACTGAAAAGGGGAAATCGAAAAGTGCTCAAAGAGAGGGAACAGGAGGGGGAAAGGGACGACAAGGGACATTCGGAGAGAAGAGAAACCATGGCCTGAGACATGTCTGAGACAGGCTGGAGACCTAGACAGGGTAAGTTTCAGGGAGAATTTGGGGGTGACTCTAGTGGAGACCCCTACTAGTAGAGGGGGATATGGAGACTGAAGAGGCCACCCCCTAACCAGACAGGACTCCAAGGAAGAACAACAACCCTTCTACAAAAGCTTCCATGCAATAGTTACCCTGCCTATAGGATGTGTAGAGATAAAGATGGAGCAGAGATTGAGGGACTGTCCAACCAAGGCCTGGCCACACCGTGGGAGGGAACCGACCCCTGACACCATTCTGTTACGCCTGCAAACGGGAGCCCAGCACAGCTGTCCCTTGAGAGGTCCCGCCCAGCAGCAGATGGAAACAGACGCTGAGACTCACAGCCAAACGTTGGGTAGAGCACAGGGAGCCTTGTGGAAGAGTGGGAGGAAGGATAGAAGGCCCCAGAGGGAGTAGGAGCTCCACAAGAAGACCAGCAGAGGCAACTAACCTGGGCCCGGGGATGCCTGCGGAGACTGAAGCACCGTGTATGAGCTGGACCTAGGCCCCCAACACATATGTACACGATGGACAGCTTGGTCTTCTTGTGGGTTGCCCAGCAAGGGGAGCAGCGGGCTGTCTCTGACAAGGACTCTCTTGCATGCTTTTCAGTCACTTCTTCCTGGCGGGGCTGTCTGGCCAGGCCACTGTGGTAGAGGTTAGCTCTACATGCACACCAAGTAAAGGCATAGCGAGCATCAACGTGCAACATTCACTTTTACCATCAATCTTCCGAAAAACTATCCCCTTTTTCTCCTTTTTTATGTCCCAGACGGCGCGTGACCCTTAGAGAAATTGTGAAATAGGACAGGCATTGTTTTTCTGAATCCCTCTTGCTCTCCTTTCCCTGTCCACTTGTTCACACACCACCCTTGTCAGCCGAGGCTGCCATAACAGAACACTGCAGACAGACTGGCTCAAACAACGTAAGTTTATTTTCGCATCTCGGGAGGCCAAAAGTCCAAACTGTGGTCAAGTTTGATTTCCCTGGGGGCCTCTCTCCTTGGCTGGTTGACAGCTGCCTTCCTGCTAGCCTCTTTTCTCCCTGTGTGAGCACACTCTTGGTGTGTCTTCTTTGTCTTTTAAGTTATATGGAATTAAGCGCCTGCCCTCATAACCTCATTTAACCTTCATCACATCTTTAAAGCGCTATCTCCGAAAACACTCACTTAAGGGTTTGGGCTTCTATACGCAAGCGTTAGAATTCAGTCCACAACGGGCAAACCTGTGTTTTCTTTCTGCCATCCTGCTACCTGCTCCACCGTCCTGATTCTCACGCAGAAGTGTCATAAACTCAACACAGCTGTTTGTAAACATCTGTTAAAAGGTTAGATCCATCCGTTTAAGTTAGGCTTTGGGTTTCAGACCAGTGAGAGCCCTCGGCCTACAGAGAATGCAAAGGCAGGAAGAGATCCCTCATTTCTCTGTTCCAAGGTCTCCCAGCTTTTCTCACTAATGGTTTAGTTGGATACTGACTGTCTCCCAGAGTCTGGGCCTCTGTTTGGGGCGGTGGGGGGGTCCTCTGTAAAATCCTAACTCCTACGACCAGTGGTCTGTCATTGGACAGAGACCAGGTACAGGGTTCCTTCTGTGGTGCTTCCGGGGAAACTTAGCATGACCGCCATGCTCAGGCCACCCTATTCATCAATGCCCTCCATCAGAGGCTGGTGTCGACCAGCTGCCCAGGCTGCCGGAGCGCCTGCTTCCTTTTGTCTATGGCATTAAGGACTTTCTTTCTGGGGCCCAGCTGCATGTGGATATTCTGAAGGTCCTCATCAGAACAAAGCAGCAGGGCTTCTAGGTCAATCTGCTCTCTCATGAAGATGGGAAGGAATTCCTCCAGGTGCTGAGATTGCAGGAACACTTCCAGCGGAGTGGCATCAACCGCATCTTCCTCCCATTCTACTTCTTCTTCATCCCAAGGAAGATCACCTGCAATGCTGTTCGCCACTCCTTCCTCTTCCTCCTTCTCCTCCTCCTCTTCATCAGCCCCTGCTGCTCCTTGTCTTTGGAACAACTCACTGGGCATTTTAAACTCCAACTCCCTCTTGCTTTCTGAGACGTCCTCAAGGCCCAGTACTCTGTTCCTTCTAAAAACGATACTTCCTAGACCTGGGCGGTTGAGAATCGCTTTGTCTCCTGAGAAATGGAGCTTCTCTTTGAAGTCTTCTGGAAACGTGTCTTCTTCCTCCTCCTCTCTGAACACTTCCATCACTGGCCTCTGCCCGTTTCTGCCATCCTTCCCAACCTGCTCTGCTGTGTCTTTGTTCTTCTTAAATTTTATCTTGAAAGTATCTTTAATGCCTTTAGACAGTGACCCAAATCCCCCAGCAGAAGCATTTGAAAGGGATGACCTGGAGAAGGTACCATGGGAAGAAGAAAGAGTCCCAGAGTCCTCCTTGCTATAGGTTCGCGCCATCTTGTTTTGGTGCTTCTCCTGAAGCCGCTCACATTCTTTCATCTGCCTCCTGGCATTCTTCAGAGCCTGTTCCTTCAGTCTTGTGACCTTCTTGGGGTTCTCGTTGTTCTGGATGGTGGCAGCCTTATCCAGGAGAGCAACACATTCTTTCTGCTCCCTGCTGGCTGCAGCATCCAGCGGAGACTTCAAGTCATTATCCAGAGCAAAGATGTTGGCACCAAAGTTGACTAGGAATGCAATGCAGTGGGTGTGGCCATTGGAGGCTGCATAATGCAGAGGGGTGTTTCCCCAGATGTCACATTTATCAGGGTCCCCACTAGAAAAGAAAAGATGAGAGATGCATGTTAAATTATATTTTTCACTGAACATGAGGTCTATAAAGAAAAATAAAAACAACCAACAAAATGCATGTTTATCCTGCCTTGACGTTGACATATGATGGCTGCTG